CTTTGTCCTTCCCAAAAATACACAGTATATAATGTTTAAACTACTTTACTACCAATTATATATATGTAATGAAGGAAATCCATAGAAATTAGAATTGATGTCGGCGTTGTCCCTTCCAGTTCATTAATTAACTGTTAAGTGATATGATCTACCTATTTATGATCAGAAGTATATATATACCTTTCTTGTATTTGTACGCTTAATCGTCCGGTAAGTATAATTTTGTACACGTTGTAACCATATCCCTTATTTTATCCTAAATTTTTTATATAGTCCAATGACTTTTGTCATTTTTCATCTGAGACATGCGTTCATATCCTATTCCTACTCAACAAAAAATAATAAGCCTTTAATTCATCCAAGTAAACATTATTGTTTAATTCTTGTTATTCAAATGTCAATGTGTATATACATACTTAATCATAATAGCGCGTTTTTTTAAAAAAAAATTATTGTTGCAATATTGATGATGATAAATGAACATTTGTATTTTTTTCATTATTTCCGACTCTAAAGTGAAATGGGCGCCAGTCACTATCATCATATGATCTATTCTTTATCAGAGTTTGTATGTGGGCATTCTCCTAAGGTTTTGTCAAGTAGTCACATTTTCTTGTGAACCATTTCTTTCCTGTTTTGTTTATTTTTCAAATATTAGGAAGCAATAGAGTACAAAAAACTTAAGTGGATTATTGAAAAGATTAATTGATATCTGAAATGTTAGTTAAAACACTATAAGTTGATGTTTTCTATATACAAAACTTATTTATGAATGTATTTTCTTGATAGTAATGGTTCTATTTTTGAGAGTGGTAAATTGTTCGTTACAAGTTTGTTTCTCTTGAATAGTAGTAAACAGTCTCAACATTTTTTGTCCAGTGAAACTTTGCACATTGCTTATTGAGAACCTGTTCAGCTGTTTACATGATTTATCACAATGTTTATCCGACTAAACATGTAATATCATTGATATTGTACATGTAAATCATTGGTCATTAAGTAGGTATACGATTGAAATGTATACATATATCTTATAAATTCACAGACATCACGCCTGAGTTGTTCTTCCGTAATCTCATATGTTATATCGGGCTAAAATGTTTCATAACTGTGGGCTGAAGGTGGCTTTACAAGATGATTGACTAGCCATGATCTCCAGTGAAGAGCTAATATAGTCATAATGTATATTTGGCCTTCATAAAATCAAGTGAGGTCATTGGTCTTCCTGTAATTGTTTGACCTTAGCACTTGTGTTATTATGAGTGTTAGATTCTTGATCGAGAAAACTTCAAATCCCTTGGTTTCCAACTAGTTTTCATTTATACAGATATCCAAGTTTTATGGGGTTGTAGTGTTTCGACTTAGGAAAAATTTCTTCATACAATTAGTACGTCCGTTGTCAAGGCTTTTGGTCGGTCGACGGGTTTCCTTACTTCTCAAACAATATGAATCTACCGTTTACCTCACAAACTGACTTTAGTTAGATATCTATTTGAAACCAGGAAGCATTGGAGAGCTGTTTCGACCTTGTGATGAACTCTTTCTCAATAGATTTCCACGACCATGCGAGGCATAAAACCTAAAACCTTCAGATTTCAAGGCGATGGCTTATCCTTCGGACTGCTGAACCAAAATCTGATGATTTATATTTCTAACTTCAGTTGACGATACTGCACAACCATACTTCAATACTATGGTGACCTCATGTTTGGATTTTATAGTTCATATTACGAACTGATCTTAATTAGAGAAACATTGAAAACCAAGAAGAATTGTGCGTGTGCTTTATATCGGTTTAGAACATATCAGTACACATTTATGATCCCACCGGGAATCGAACTCAAGATTTGGTTACCTAACCCACGTCAGTCAGTAGTGTAAACTATAAAATCATTTTCATCAAACATGGTATCCATCGTATTTGTTTATATAAAACCACTTTTAGTACAGTCTGTATTATCAATAATGCCTCATCCTAAAGAATACATTGCTTAAAATTAAGTACATAAGCACCTGTTCATGATAGTTACATTGCATTTGTCTCCAATACTTTTCTCTTAAATGCTCTTCATATTTATTCAAGTTGATTATATTCTGTTTCACCTAAAATAGATACTCGTTTAATTGTTATTGTGTGTGAACCTGTTGGTCAAAATTATTAGACATAGGTCACAAAAGTTAACCTCGTTGGTTATTAGGTGTGGCTAGCTGACTGACAACACAATTTAAGATCCTGTTTACACTGCTCTTCTTCTGAAAAAAAATTCTTCACTTTGTTTGTAGATTTCTTATCTTTGCCATCCATTGTTTTTCATTCTGATGCTCAGCTTATTTGCACTTTCTATATATATAATGTTAGTTTGCCTTTTCGCTTATATGCGTAAGATGTATACTATCTGATAAATATGTCATATAATGAAATACTATGGAATTAAATTTTTATTTCACGCCTTAACATACACATTGTATTTCAGAGAATAAGAAAAAAAATGTGAACAACAAGGTTGAAACAACAAAATAATAATTTTTGTTTCCGGATGTATGTGTTACAGCAGGTATTGCTTGCTTTATCTAAACAACGTATCAATTTCTACGTATTAGTAATTATTTTCTTATTCAACACTATCCCACTTACTGTTCATAAGTATGAAACCCCAGAGTAAGTAGTAGGATGATAGTGACTTAAAAGTCTTAATGTGGTTACTCTCTTGTGTTTTTCCTTGTCCACCTTGTGCTTCATCATTTTTTTTAAAAAGAAAAGTTACGATGTATGCTGATGTTTATCTGAATATTTATAGAAAATTCGCTTGTTAATAGTTGTGGTATTAACACTTTTTACCCCCTCGCCCTCCACGCTTTCTTATCATTTTATATCTATATGGTATTATTTTAATTTTGTTGTTCCAGATTACGATGTCCGATGATGACTCCTCACCGTCAATTAGTCCGTATTGTTGTTGTTCAGACTACTTACTGTCTAAAAACATTGTTCTGGGGGTTTGTGTGTATGTATGTGAAATTCACATGGAAGCAGTTAAATAAAATGAACTGTACATTCAACCAAAACTAGGTTAATAGTTTTTGGATGCTTATACACGTACAGAAAATAAGTAACTTCATTGGTTTCATTACCGAAGACTACTTTTTAAATAGAGTTGAATAAGCTAAATGTTTTTGCAAATATTAAATGGTGGGAATCGGCATGAAACTGTTAACTTGTAAAAATAATTTGAAATTTTTAAAGTAATTTCTGAGTTGTTCTTGTGGTTTCCTCTCATCATTAGTGCAGTCATCTTCAATCATTTAACGCAACACAATTATTTTTACTATTAACTTTGGAAGTGTATCTACAATTATCAATCTTCATATGTGACGATGATACTTTTTATTGTAATAACAAATCCCAGTATGTATAGACATCAAAAATTTTTTCTCAAGATACATTTTTTCCATCAGAAATGTAACTGCTGAAAGACGATAAAATGTATCAAGAAGAAATATCTTGTTTTGTGCAAAACACACAAATTCAATTTGTTACTCGTGATCAATATGGATTGTTCAGTTGTAAGAAAGAGAATAGTTTTTCAGATAAGCATAAGATTATCATATTTGACAGTATGAGAACAGTTTTACTAGGATGCCTGTTAGGCTTCTGTTTATGTGGAAATAACACAATATTAAAAGTGTTTGAAAATTGCAGTAAGTAACACCAGTTTTAGGTAGTTTGTCGTGCTTTTTATCCTCTACGTAAATGTAATGTGGATTGTGAAAAGTAACATGATGTTTAGATATTATGTTCATTTAGTGTGAGAAAGTAGAATGCGAAACATGTTTTGTGTACTGTAAGTATCTGTCTCATGATGATACTGGATATCAAAATGTTTAAGAATTTAGTAGTGTACCAGTGAAACCGGAAATGATACAAAAAGTAATGGCTTGTAATCCAGTTCTATAGAAGAGATATCGTCCAATTAAAATCTGACGAGTGTTATTTTTCTAAGGTGCACTTTCCATATGTGTACTGTAAATTAGTTTATAGGAAAAATTTCCATTATTAAAGTAATTCATATATAAACAGTATGTGTTTAATCTTCTATTTCTCCATAGTATTATTAATACTTGATTTTTTTTGTAGCAATTCATGTATCATCTCTTTTTGTAACAATTTTAAATACTTTTTTGAACCACTTCTAAAGGAACTTCTCTTAGTTGACTAAGAAAATGAATCTATTAAACAAGAATGAGATAACAGCGTGAAACCAGTTGTTATTTAAAAGATATGATCGACTTAAAATTCAATTAATTACCAAGATATTTGTAGAATTCTTAAATTATGTAATAAGTACTTCGAATTTTCCCCCCTCGTGGGATCGGGGATGCGCACTGCTGAGGAGTCTCATACTAAGACGAATCGGCCGTCCAGTGCTTCCAGGCTTTGAAGTTGTAGTCTAGCTTAAATCGACTCTTGAATTCAACTATTAAAATCACTACAATCTCCACAAGCCCCATTCTGAACATTTCAAATTGTCTTACGCTAGTGGGAATATAAAAGTTTTCATTGTTATAATGATAGGTCATTAATAGGTTCTTGTATCATAGAGAAAAGATTTTTATTCTGTTTATTTTTTTCGTAACTCGAATGTCTTGGACAAATGAAAGAATAAATCCATCTTTGACGAGAACATAGATCGAACGGATGTAATTGGTAATAACTAGCTTATAATAATTAACAATTGACCTGTAGTCACTTTAATATATAACAAGATAATATAATACGTATGCTTTTTTTGTTCGAGTTACAGTTCAAATAAAACTAATTTTCAGTTCATTTATCTTTCAAGAATGTTTTAATGGTGATTAACTGGAATAATCTTTTTATAATTCATTACTGTAATTGACTGTCATTTGATTAACGTGAAAAAGGGTAGGGTTTGGAAGTAAAATTCATTATGTAAATCTATTTTGTCTCATTTTCATTGTATTTTGTTGTTCATGTTTAGTTTTGTAGTGTTTGCTTCGAAGGAAGAATTTTCTGGTGCTTGGTGTCCAGCCAAATTAATTCATAAAGAATTAGATGAATGGCTTCAAGTTGATTTTGGTGCATTGAAACTTATTAAAGTTCTCTTCTCTGAAGGTGGAGGTTTGAATCAAGTAAGTATATTTCTACCAATATGTGCTTTTTTCTTTGCTCTTTAGATAAGATCATTTAAAATGTGTGTATATCTATGTGGATCTATAACCAATCTTGTTCTATAGTCTAAGAGTTTTTTTTAAGGGATTTGCTCTCCCTCACTAAAATCCAAGAATAAGCTGTAAACGTTAACATCATTACTTCAATGACTCAACCGATCACAATTGATTAATGAAGCTTTATTCTTTCTCACCAGAGCATTTTCCCTACATATTAATTTAAAGAGAGAACCCACGGATTAGGATTCTCTGACATAGTTGCAATCTATTTCATTCCTATTTGTCTTCGATATATTTCATGAATTTTCTATATTTAAGTTTTAAATTCATGCGGACTAACAATTATTATTCATTGCATTCAGTAAGCAATATATAATTCATACTTTCTCATTTTTTATGTCGGGTGATTTAAATATTTATACAACATAATATGAAAGGTATAATTTGTTCTACATGGGAAACAAGTGGTGGTCTAACTAGTTCGTGTGATCAAGATTTTGGTGATGAATTTAGCACATGTTTCGTTTCCTTTAATGAAATCCTAAAGATCGTATAGTTATATTATGCATTGTTTACCGTGCCAATTTGTACGTGAATGCGACAAAGAAATCGATTCATTACTTTAGCGGATCTTATATGTATAAACTTAATTAGCCACTGTTTTCTCGACATCATGAACAGTTTTTTAACATAGTAGTGGAATGACATTATTTCTGTTCTCACTTATACTAATATGTTGATTTTTTTTAATGTCATGATTTTTGCATATCTTAACTCTCGACAAGCCCTAATTTACACACAAATGTTTCGACTGGAAATCCTATTTTTATTACCATTATTATAAAAGGATTTATTTGTTTGACCAAATATGTGGATTAAGATGTTGAATTAAATGCTATGGTAATTAAGCCCATTCAACTGTCTTGATTGAATCAACCTCAAGCTAACTGAAAGAACATTTTAATCAATTAGAAGCTCTCAAACTTATTTATATGTATGTAGTATTTTAAACAACGGATTTTTCTCATTGCTGCTACTGCTGTCATCATCACTATCATAACATAACAAGCACTTGGTCATATGTGAGAACCAAAATGCGCTTTTCATTTACGCTATCTTAATCCATAGACGAGAGTGTGTTTCGTTCTTTGTCGTTTTCGTTGGCTTACATGAAAAATGTAAAGTTTTCTACGACGAAAATATCACTCCATCGTGCTGCGGACGTGTCAACTCTGGCTTATTCAGTCATAATGGGAGAGAAATTATAAAATAGCGAAATTCATACTTCCAATTAATTCTGTAGTAGAAATTATTCCCAAATATTTACAACTGAGTGACTGAATAAATGAAAACATAACCGTAATTACTGACTACGTTACACTTAGATTACTTGACAATGTGGAGTTTATCTCCAGCCCCACCGAATTAAAAGCCAATCATTCAAGTCTCCCAGTATCACTTCATTCTAGGTAATAATATAAATATCATTTATATAATCGACGGGTATACATTTTGCTTTATGATTGAGATAATTTCACGGGTCATACACAACATCCGACACGAAGTCCCAATCATCCTTCTTGAAACAAGTCACTATTGATTGACAAATAGAGGATATAAAATGCTTCCTAGATTTCCTAGTAATTGTTTTCAGTTAATATCGATGTTCGTGATCAGAACATCTATTTTTAGCAGATAACCAAGTTTCTACAAATCACTTCTCATATGTATGTAATCTAACCTTTTCCTACAATCGTCGCTTTTTGGCTAGTTGTTGTCGTCAAGTGGAAAAATGTGGTAATAATGATGCTCCTTGTGTTGAAGCAGCTTGGTATTTTGCTTTTAAACAAAAAACAGCCTATCCCCTCCAAATGTCGGGATGGAGTTAAAAATTCTATCTGATAATGAAAATCTTTCATTGTTTTGTCTCTTTCTTTTTTCCCTCCTTCAAAATTTTTCAGTTTTCCTTATTTTTTCCAAAGCCCATCATTTTTTTACTGAATTCGTGTAGCTTTTAATATTAGTCGAAGTGATCAAGCAAGGGATGAGTTTCTTTTTTCCCCATTCCCTTTATTATTAATCTCGGTGTGGATATTTTTGAATAATGTAATAAGTAATGTTACGTATTTCACAATACACATGACTTTTGCTTTTCAGAAACTTTCTTTTTTTATATGCCTTATTTTTATATAAATCATGATTATCCGTAACACTTTGTCCATGTGTTATTTCATGTCTTATATAAAATATAGCAATTATAACTTTTTCTACGTTGAAAAGAATATTTTTCTCTTTTTACGGACAAATAGAGCATACCTACACAACCATGGACACTTGTAATCATTAAAGTGAACAGTTCATCAAGAAAGATGAAAAATATGAAAACAGAAATTACATTAATATATTACTTTCTTATGTCTGTTAATTCTCGTAAAAGAGCATAGGCCGTCCTATTAAGGTCCACATTAATTTAGTCTCCATTGGTATATATACATCCTGAATAGTCTACATCAATAGCGTACTTAGTTATACTGTTAGTCACAATCCAATATTGGTGAAAATAAAATTATTGGCGTAATATTTTCTGATTTCATCTAATCAACTCATTTGAGCTCATTTTATTGTTTTAAATGTGCGTTTATTATTATTCAACTAAAATTATTTATACTAAGAAGTGGTAATTTTAATAATAACTCTAATTAGAAATAAACATGTTTATTAATTCTTTTTAGTAAGATGGAATATATGAGCTGTGAAATGATCGTATGAATTGAGGCGATTATATTTTGATTGTCTTTCATGACTTGTTATATCTCATTTTGATATCTAAGACTAAGTCATGTAACACAGGTTCCAGTGCTGCAGGGTTTATGAGTTCCCTCACGGTCACAATTCTGTCTCACGGACGTGTATTAACTAGTACGAAACGTAGGTTGAGGGTATCTTGACGACTAGTTCCGGTCGGCTAACCACATGTCCATGATTTCATCTGTCAGATACATGTAGCATAGTCTCCACATCTGTTTATCAGGAGCTTCTGTTTCAAAATAATAGATCATTATAATATATTATCTATTCCATATCCTCTGGGTCTGATCATTACTTCGTCGCTGGAAATGACATAGTTTGGCCAATATCAATCAATGTGATTAAATCGTTGATTAAATATCATCAGAAACATAATCCATTAGTCCGATGGTTTGTTTAGCTCTTGAATTTTCAAATACAGTTCGAACGTTTAAATTGAAAGTAAGCGTATCTACCAAGATAAAGGATACATCTATCTTTCCAGTGCACTGTAATTATGATGTATTATTTCTCAAGTGTAACTGTCTAAAGAGCCATCATCAGTTGTAAACTACGCGTAAATTTCACATACTTGCCACCTAGTCATCAAACACTAATCTTAACTGTTTTTTCTCTCTAATCTTATTTTTTCCTTCAGAACTTCGAATTGTCATCGTTTTGTCCCATAAGTCATAAGTCCTTTGTCCATTAGGTAAACTTTATTTTATAGTTCAACTGTCATTTGTCTGTCTTTTATATAAAATATAAAAAGCATTACCTGCGGACATGATGATTATTAAATTTATTCGGGGCAAAAATATAAACATGGTGTATGCGGAATACTCAATATATATATATATATATATAGTCTATGTATCATCCATCTCCACGCTTCTGTTTGGCCTTTTCTCCTCACATTTCTTCTGCTTCATTATCACTTCTATACTATATTATGTCTCAATTTTATTCGAATTATTCCACTTTTTCATTTATTATCTTGAAAACAAAAGTGAACATCCATTATTTCATACTTTATAATCGAATCATACTGGGAGTAAGAAAATATTCTCCTCCTTTTCAATTTATTTGTGCTGCAGCTAGCAAACAAACATCTCAAATGTTAATTTATCTTTGAAAAACATATAAATAATTGACCCAAGGTTAGAATGCTTTATTCATTAAACACTAGTGACCATTTCCCATTCATTGCATTTATCATTTATGTGGAATGAATTTCCAGCGATTAAGATAGTTATGTATAATGGAACAAATTGTGTTGTTGTAATTTTTCTTTTTAATGTAAAAAAAGCTTAACCATACTGTTGTTTGTTCCAATTAAAGACCGATTTAAATGTGTGTGTTTTTGTTTTTGTATATTATTGTCTCATTTCTCCGTCTTGTCTTGAAATTTGATCTATTTATAAATCATCCATAACCCCATGGGACTGGAAACAATTTGTATTGTATTTAGTCGATTGTTTTAAACAAACATTTAGGGTTCACTTAACTACTTAGGGGTTGTGATTATTTCCATCTGTATTCGTCTTAGTCTTATTTTATTTCTCACCCTTAAATAGTAATATGAAAAATAAGAAATTTAGACTATTAGATTCCCTTCTCACCTGGTCATTTATGTACACATACATTTACACAGGCACACAGTTTCGTTTATATCTGCTTTGAGATGATTTTATAATCTCCTGAATAATCCATCTCGTTCACATCATTGCCTATCTTTTGACAGCTTATAATTTGATATTGGTTATTGATACTCATTTCTGGTTAATCGGTCTGTTTCGTTTCCCAATCAACTACCGCTTCATAGTTACTTTATAATAATAATAATAATAATAATAATAATAATAATAATAATAATAATAATAATAATAATAATAATAATAATAATAAAAAGCCTTATTCAATAAGTTATGTTACAGTAAAGAGTTCTCGCTAGCAATTGTGAAGTATTGCAGCATACATTCAACGATTAATTATTCTAAGATATATCTTATAAATCCTATTGACAATCGGTATCTGTCACCCATCTTGATTTATAGAAACTTTCCATCCGTCCATCTCCTACCAATATTTTATTCCATCCATCATATATAAGATTACATATCACTGTTCCTCGTTTCCTCAACGGATAGATTAGAAGGCAAATATACCAACAA